CCTGGTTACACACACACACACACACACACACACACACAAAACTACATAGCTCAGAGAACTAAGCACCTGCTTTGGCAAGCACAAGAACCAGGGTTCGATCCTGGGTACCACATGCCATGCTGGCCCCTCTCTCAGACATGCTGAGCCAAGCTGGGGAGGCTGAAAACAGGAGGGTCACTATGAGTCTGAGCTGCATAGTAAGACCCTGTACCAAATACATCAAAAAATAGAAATAAAAATAAATAAATATCAACTTTTCAGAGCTGTCAATATAGTTCAGTGGTAGATTACCTGGCCTTGCATGCCTGAGGCCCTAGATTCAATCCATAGCATCACAAACAAAAATAAATTTCTCAAATAGCCCACAATTTTTGTTTGCTTTTTTTTTTTTTTTTTTTTTTTGCTTTTTGAGACAGGATCTTGCTATGTAGTTCTGGCTGCGACTGAACTCACTATATACTACAGGCTGGCTACAAATTCACAGCAATCTTCCTGCCTCAGCCTCCCAAGTGCTGGGATTACAGGCATAGGCCACCTGAAATACCCAGCTCTTCAAACAGCCCATAACTTAAAAACATAAAGCATTTTAGGGGCAAATGAAAACACTTTAGGATGACAACTAATTCTGCTAACTTTTTAAAAATCAAATCTGAATGTCATATTTAATTGTAAAGGAATCATTATAATGCCACCTAAATAAAATCACAACGACCACCATGTCTAGAGGTAATAAGAAACAATATAAATTCTAAGTGCTTCTCAGTCCTTGAAATTTTCAGAAATATTACAGCATTTCTGATTTGCTATACAACACATTTTATCAGTTGTTCTTTATTTGAAACCAAACATGTCTATGGAAAATATGAATAAAATGTGAGAGGGTTGGGGGTCGGGGAGATAGCTCGGCAGCATAAGTGCCTGCTTGGCAAGCACAAGGTCCTGAGTTTGGCCGGGGAGATAGCTCAGTAGAATAAGTGCTTGCCTGGCAAGTGCAAGGGCCTGAGTCCAATCCTTGGTTCGGGGGAAAAAAAAAAAAACTGGGGCTGGGGAGATGGCTCAGTGGAATAAGCGCTTCCCTGGCAAGTGCAAGGGCCTGAGTTCTATCCCCGGTTCTGCAAAAACAAAACAAGGTCCTGAGTTCAATCTCCAGTACTGTGAAAATAATAATATTTATTTATTTATTTATTTATTTGATACAGGGTCTCATTACACAGTTGAGACTTATAGTGACCCTCTAGTCTCAGCCTCCCCAGTGCTAGGATTATAGGCCTGTGCCACTAAGCCCAGTTTCAGCTGGCAAGGTACATCTGGGGTTCCAGGGCCAACACAGCACACAGTGCTGGGGATCAAACTCACATTCTTGAACTTTCCAGGCAGGTGCTTAGACCGCCGAGCTATCTCCCCCAGCCCCATGGATAAAATTTTTTAAGCAAATACAAGTATAACCTTATCGTTTGAATTAACTACACTTTTTCATTTATTTCATAAGAAAAGGGCCAGTGGTACAGCTCAGCAGACTAAGCGCTTGCTCAACGAAGCGCAGGGGCCAAGGTTCGATCCCTGGCGACGGTTGCCGCGCCGGCCGCGCTGAGCCGGGGATGGAGTCCAGGCAGAATGGCACGCGCCTGTAATCCCAGCCATGGGGAGGCAGAAACCAGGAGGATCGCTACAACCTATGTAGTGAGACCCTGCACAAAGAAAAAGAAAAATATTTCATAGGAAATGATCTTTTGTCCTAAGGAACAGGATTCTAAAGTAATGGATTACAAATAACACTAACAATACATATATAGTCAGCTTTCTAATGTTAGGAGCATAACAAATAATGTAAAAAAGTGCTTACAGTTGACATTCCTAGTCTACATGAGTATCAAAAACCTCATGTAGGCTGTGAGCACACCTATAACTCCAGCTACTTGGCAAGCTGAGGCAGATGCATCAGGTCTATAAGTTCAAGGTATGCTTGGACAACTTTGTAAGACCCTGTCTCAGAATAAAAAGTAAAGGGCTGGGCATCCTTTGTGTGTAGTAGAGCACCTCTGGATTCAATCTCTAGTACTCTTCTCAAAAAAAAAAAAAAAAAAAAAAATGGGTTTTACCAAATGGGTCAGCTAGTAAAAAAACAGGCGGCCGGGGAGATGGCTCAGTAGAATAAGCGCTTCCCTGGCAAGCGCAAGGGCCTGAGTTCAATCCCCGGTTCTGAAAAAATAAATAAAAATAAAAATAAAAATTAAAAACAAAAACAAAAAAACCATAACGGCTGGCAGCATAGTGCACCTCACACACATGTACAAACACTACATCGTGCATTCCCTAGAACCCTTCAAAAGGAATCTATTAAAATATAATCAATTGTGACATAATTAGGAGACAAGGTAAACTACTCTAAAAGTTTCAAAATTGATAATTCAATTTAAGATAGTAACAGAATCAAGCACCTTTAACAAGTGTGGTGGTGCATTTTTGTATTCTCACCACTCAGAAGCTGAGGCAGGAAGATGGCTGAGTTCCAGCTGGGGCGACACTGCAAGTTCAAGGCCAGCCTGGACTATACAGCCTGACCCTATCTCAAAGACCAACAAAGTCATTTAAAAACTGGAATACACTTGTCATTTGTAAGTAAATGGATGGATGCACCTTGAGATCATAATTTTAAGTGATATAAATAAGAAAGAAAAGTTTAAATATTGCATTGTTTTTCTTGTGTGAGAAACCCTAAGGGTACACAAGGAGAAAATGGAGGACAGATGTTGGGAAGAAGGAAGAACAAGTTCAAATGAAGGGGAGGTGGGAGGAAAGGAAAGGAAAGGAAGGAAAAGGGATTAAAAAACAACAGAAGGGAAAACTGGAAGAAAGCTGTAAATGGGAGAGAAAGAAGGGTTGAAGGGAGTAGAAGGGGAACAAGGGAAAACAGAACTAAGATATATCATGTACTGGTACAAATTCCCTATGATGAATGTGAGAACTATGTAAGAAAACTTATATTAAGAAAAAATCTCTAAAACTAAAATAAAAAATGAGATCATTTTTCAACTCTTTAAAAAAATAATAAATCTGAGATATGTGGGGCTGGGGAGATAGCTCAGTGGAATAAGCGCTTGCCCGGCAAGCACAGCGACCAGAGTTCAATCCCTGATTCTGCCAAAAAAAAAAAAAAAAAAAAAAAAAAAATCTGAGATATGCTATTACAGAAGTGAATCTACTGCTTTTTAAAATGTATTTTGGATGGGCTGGCCAGATAGCTCTGCAGATTAAAGCACCTGCTTAGATAGACACAGGGGCCAACAGTTCAATCCCCAGCCTGCAGAGCAGGCCGGGCCCCGCCCCTGGGGCACGCTGAGATGGTGATTGAGACTGGACATGGTGGCACCCTCCTGAAATCCCAGCACTTGGGAGGCTGAAAACAGCAGAATCACTACAAGTCTAATCTATGTAGTCAGACCCTGTAGACCCTGTCCTAAATACAGAAAAATAAATAAATAAAACAAAATAAAATGTATTTATTTTGTATAAATAAAATAAACCAAAACAAAATAAAATAAAACAAAACAAAATAAAGTGTATGTAGCACTCAGGAGAAGAGGTAGGATTGTTTCAAGTTCAGGACCAGCCTGGGCTACAAAGTGAGCGTAAGGCCAGCCTGAACTGCATATCAAGACCCTGTCTCAAAAAGATGTACATATTTTGTAGGACAGGAGATATAACTCTGCAGCACAAGTGCCTGCCTGGCAAGCACAAGGTCCTGAGTTCGATCCTCAGTACCCCCCAAAAAAGCTTAAAATGTATTTTGTATGGATATCCTATTGTATTATAACACTGTCCTTATTCTGTTCCACTTTTAACTTAGTTCACTAATATACATAACTTTTGCCTGTAAAAGTCGGCAAAAATTCAATGGAGGACAGTATTATGAAAGTAAATATGGTCCTTTCATCTCCTCTTCCAAACAATCCAGTTTCCAAAATGTTATATAGTTCAAGTAAAACTTACTTTAATTCGTGTGTGTGTGTGTGTGTGTGTGTGTATTACTTTAGGGGAACAGAAAAGTAAAAAAAAATTTTTTTTTAAAGTTAGACATCACTATAGAGCATATCCAAAATAAGTAACATGTATTTTATTGCCTAACTTTGCTGCCTAAAATACATTTTTTTAAATGGGGAGGGCGGTTTGCAGAAAAACCACTTTCAAGTAGTTTCTGTATCAGTACTTGAGTTCAAGTTGAATTTTAGAAACTTCAAGACTAACCTTCGTATTCTACACTTTAAAAAACAGAGGCAAGAGAGGAGGAACCAAAACTACAATTTTCTCCAAGGTCAGTGGAATGAACACTTGGGGAAGGGGGCTTCTAGATTCCAAAACTCATCCCAGGGAACACGCTGGTCTCTACGGGGTTGCATCTGGACCCAACTACCAACACGCAGAACACAAAGTAAACGATGCGCTGCCGACCTGGCCTCTCTGAAAGACAGGCAGAGGGAACGCACGGCGAGGCGAGAAACCCCCAGCAGCGCTGCGAGCGGCCGAGGCCAGAGCAGGACAGCACTTCCCTTTTTCTGTAAACCAATTTCCTGCCTCCCCTCCGGTATCTCCAACTTTACAGGAAGAGGAAGGCCTCAGGGTCTTTCTTCCTTCTCCACTAGTGAATCTGGGAAACGGAGCCCCCAGGAACTCGCAAACCCAGCCTGGTACTCCTGGGGGCACTCTGGACAGACTGGCCCCGCCGGAGCGAGCGGCGGCCCCTCCGGACAGCAGGTGGGTCCGCGTCCACTGCGGGTCTACCCGCCGCCTGGACCAGGGCGGCTGCCGGGCTGGGGGCAGGCTCGGGGCAGACCCGGGCCCGACCCCCCGCACCCCACACCCGCGGCGGCTGCAGGCGCCGCCCCGCGCCCCCACATCCCGGGGGCCCAGATGTGCAGTCCCGGGCGCTGAGGGCCCGCGCGTCCCCAGCGCATCCCCACCCCGGCTCCCAGGCTGCCGCGGCCTCCTCACCAGGCTCTTACCCCGGTGCCGTTGTCGCACACCACCACCTTCCTGCCCTGGCTGTCCATGGTCCACCCCGGGAAGAGCAGCTGTCGTCGCACAACCTACTACCGCTACTGCCGCCGCCGCCGCCTGGCCCTAGCCGCTTCCTCCTCCTCCCTCTTCGCGGCCCCTCCTCCAGCCCAATTTCTTTTCCCTTACCCGGAAGTTACCGCCCGGCCCCGCCCGTCATTTAGCCGAAGGCCAGGCCGGAAGGGGCGGGACACTATGTAGCAGGCAGTGACTGGCAACGATGAGCACCAATAAGAAACGGGCCCAAGTCGCCCGTTTCGGTTGCCCCGCCCCACTGTTCTTCCTAGTTGCCTGGGCTCCTCGCTGTACTTGGTATTAATGGCGGCGGATGTCATGAGCTCTGTGGTTCTTTCTCGAAAGGGTTGCAGGAGTTAAGGGCGCGGCTTCACGGACTGCGGAAGACGCTAGCAGGTGAAGGACACCGGGTCTGCCGCGAGGTGGCAGTGGAATGTGGTAGAGAAGCAGTCCGGAAGGCCGGGGAACAAATCTGGAGGTCCTTGCATACCCCATTATTCGACCTAGATCGGTGTGTCGTTGTTTCAAGCCTTCTCAGTGGACAGAGTGGAGTAGCTGAACACACTTTTTTGAAATCATGTGTTTATTCAATTCCCGCCCAACTCTGCTCCAGCTGCCCCACGAGCGAGAGTGAGTTTCCAGCCGCATCCTCACCGGTCCCAGTCCCAGTAGTCCCATGCTGTGCGTACCGCTTAGGTACTTGACCTCATTAGAACCACAGCCTCGGCTTTGAAATCCAACTACTCCAGCTTCAGATCTGGCCCAGCCAGCCAATAGTTTTGTGAGTGGTCATAACCTTGTCTTTCCCTGGGGATGATAATCTCTACCTCGGTGGGTGGTTGCGAGGGTAACATTCTAAGCACAAGACAAGAATTCATTAAGTGCTAGTTAATTCGGATTAATCTCATGTTTTCTAATCAGTGCTCCTCCTGACACGTAATACTCCCCTCTTTTAAAAATATTTTGTGGTACTGAGGATTGAACCCAGGCGGTGTGTACCCTACACAAGCGCTTTTTACACAGAGCTGGATCTCCAGCCCTTTATTTTATTTTGAGACAGGATCTTGCTAATTGCTTAGGTTCCCCTGGATCTTATGATTCTCCGGCCTCAGCTTCTGGAGGAGCAGGGTTTTCAGGGGGTGTGCCATTACATCTGACTTCATTTCTTTCATTCTTTGGGGGAGGGGCTGGCCGGCATGTGGTGCTGGGGGATCAAACCGCTGTCCCTGCGCTTTGCCTAAGCTTGCCTAAGCATGCGCTTTAGACCACTGAGCTATCTCGCCAGCCCTTCTGGCTCCTTTTTTTTTTTTTTTTTTTTAAATATTTATTTATTTTTATTTATTACATTTATTTATTGTGTGTGTGTGTGTGGCCAGCTCAGCCCACCTGGGGGCGGGTCTGCCTGGCATGTGGTGCTGGGGATCGAACCGCGGTCCCTGTGCTTTGGCAAGCTTGTTTCAAATAGGTGCTTTAGACCACTGAGCCATCTCTCCAGCCCCCTTCTGGCTCCTTTAAGCAGGGTCTCTATGTAGTTCACATTGAGTTTAAACTCACTATGTAATGCAGGCCAGCTTCAGACTTGCAGTGATTCTCCTGCTGTAGCATGTGGAGTACTGAGATTACAAGTGTGCACCACTGTGTCCAGCTGTGTTTTTTAGTCAGTTGGCAGACTTCTCATGCTTGGAGACCCAGCTTGTCATACTGCTCTGAAGACTTCCCTGATACCCTGAAGATGTTCTTTACCCTTGCTACGACTTTACCAAGGATATGTGAATAACGTCATGGGGCTTATACTCAACAAATATTTATTGGGTGAATGACATTAACATTCATATTTAAAAAGTGTCATTATTGGGCTGGCCAAATAGCTCAGTGGATTAGCAGGGGCCAGGATCCCTGGGCCTGCCATGATGCCCTCCCCCCCATGGCAATTGAGACTGGCCATGGTGGCACAAGCCTGTAATCCCAGCTCTTGGGAGGCTGTACACAGGCGGATCACTACGAGTCCAATCTAGTAGAGAGACTGTGAACACCCTGTCGACCCCTTTAATTTTTAATTTAAAAGTTAAAAAATAAAAAGTCATTATTTTTGAGAGATAACGGAATTGTGCCTTCCACGTTGTTGTTCATGTGCTACAATTACAATAAAACTTGGATCATGGGGGCTGGTGAGATGGCTCAGTGGTCTAACGCACCTACTTAGAACAAGTTTAGCTAAATCACAGGGACTGCGGTTCAGTCCCCCAGCACCACATGCCAGCCAGCCCCGCCCTCTGGTGGGCTGAGCTGGCCACACACATACACACACACACACACACAAATAAATAAATAATAAAAAAGAGTAAACATAACATCTTTAAAAAAAAAAAAACTTGGATCATGAACCCTCAACTCAGTATTTTTATAATCCTACCAGCCTCTCATTTTTCTGTCTTTTAAGGTCTAATGTGATACATTGCTTTGCTCAACGTGGAAGAGCTAGATATGGTGGCACATGCCAGTAATCTCAGCACTTGGGAGGCTGAGGCAGGAGGATCACAAGTTTGAGGCCAGCTTGTACTACATATTGAGTTTAAGCCCAGCCTAATTACATAGTGACAGTCTGTCACTAAAGAAATAAAAAATAAATTAATCTTGTGTGGATCCAAGCACATAAAGAAGATTTAGAAACAAGGCTGCCATAGTTGCAGCTGGAAGTATGAGGGGTTAGGATGGGCGAGAGGCTTGGGATATCTGTTCCCTTCATCTGCCTCAGTAGTCCTTGAAGTACCGCAGCCTGCTGAACAGTGAGTTCTTTTGATCACGGCACTGACAGATTTCCTTAAAGTATATGTATATTTAACTGGGCTTAGCAATTAAACTCACCAAATTTCTCTGATCTTTTAGTTTCCCTCTATAGAATTAAGTAGATTAATTTTTTAATTTTCAAGAAATAACATTTTTTTCTGATTAGAAGAATAGTACATTCAAATAATAGAAGATGTTGACATTATCTGTATACAACTAAAATTCAGCAAAGCTCCTCATGCAAAATCAGATATAAATTCAATGATATAAGGTAAGTGAGATTGCTCAGCAGACTAAATGCCTACTTTGACAAGCGCAGGGACCAGGGTTTGAACCATGAAGCCCCACCTCCCACCCACCCCCACCCCTGTGTGTGCTGAGCCTGCAGTAATCTCCCAGAGTGGTGGTACATGCCTGTAATCCCAGTGCTAGGGAGGCTGAAAACCGGATCACTAACAATCTGAGCTGCGTAGTGAGACTCTGTACCAAATACATAAATGAAAAAGAGAAGGGGGCGGTGGAGAGATGGCTCAGTAGAATGTGCAAGGGCCTGAGTTCAATCCCTGGTTCTGCCAAAAAACCAGAAATTCTATGATATAGTCTGACTCCTGTCTTCTACCCCAGATACATTCTGGTCATTTCACTTTCCTTATAATAATGTAACCCCACATTTTTGCTTTGTTGTTTTGAGACAGGTTCTCCCTATGTGGATCAGCCAGGCCTTGAAATCACTTATGTAGCTCAGGCTGGCCTCAAACTCATGGCAATCCTTCTGCCTCAGACTCCCAAATTCTGGGACTACAGGTATGTGCCATCATGCCTGGCTTGTAACCCCACATTTTAGGCATTGAATATTTGATTGGAGGAGACTTCATTTCCACTTTGTGGGTGGGACAGATACAGGGTCTTACTGTGTAGCCCAACCTGGCCTCAAACCCATGATCCTCTGTCTCAGCCTCCCAAATGATATGATTAATTTCTACCCTTCTGTAAGATTTTATGTATATTTTTCCACACAAAACCTTGTTAAATGGATATCCCCATTTAATGAATGGAGATTTAAAAAATTAACTTGGAAGCATTAAAAATTTAACTTAAGGGCCAGCCAGATAGCTAGGCAGACTAAAGTGCCTGCTTAGGCAGAGCGCAGTAGCCAGGTTTGATCCTGGCAGGCCATGCTGGCTCCACCCTTGGGGCACGCTGAGATGGCCAATGAGACTGGGCGTGGTGGCACATGCCTGTAATACCAGCACTTGGGAGGCTGAAAACAGGAGAATCACTGAGTCTGATCTACATAGTGAGACCCTGTAGACCCTGTGCCAAATACATTAAAAAATAATAATAATAATTTCAGGGTGACAGTATAGCTTAGTGGTAGAGCATTTGCTTAACATGTGCAAAACTGGGCTGGGGAGATGGCTCAGTGGAATAAGTGCTTCCCTGGCAAGCACAAGGAGTTCAATCCCTGGTTCTGCAAAAAAAAAAAAAAAAAAAGGATGTGCAAGACCATGGGTTCAATTTCCAGTACCACACACACACAAATAACAAATAACAACTTAATGATAAGACAGATTATCTAATTTTAAAGTGTCTGAAGCTAGGTGTGGTGGTGCACAACTGTAATCCCAGAACTTGGGAGACTGAGGCAGGAGGATCACAGAGTTCAAGGCTATTTGGGGCTACATTAGTAAGTTCAGAGCCAACCTGTACTGTATAGCAAGACTCTGTTGAATTCTGCCCCCCCAAAAAAAAACCAAGAAAAAGTATCTGAAAATGTGGTATTTTACCAAGGCAGATTTGTGAATGCCTCATAAGCACATGAAGGAATTTTGAACATCTTTTATCATTAGGGAAGTGTGAATTGAAAACCAAATAAGATGCCACCTCAAACTCACTAGAATGAATGTGATGAAGAAGGCAGGAAATAGAATTAGTGTTGGGACTGATTCAAAGAAACTGGAAGGGCCGACCAGATAGCCCAGTGGATTAAAGCACCTGCTTAGGCAGATGCAGGGACTGGGGTTCGATCCCTGGCCTGCCAAGCTGGTGCGGTCCCCAGGGCCCACTGAGACAGTGATTGAGACTGGGTGTGGGGGCTGGGAAATAGCTCAGCCGGGGCTGGGGAGATATTGAGTAGGTGCTGGCCTGGCAAGCACAATGGCTTGAGTTCAATCCCCAGTAAGCACAGATACTGGGTGTGGTGATGCATGCCTGTAATCTCAGCACTTGGGAGGCTGAAAACAGGAGGATCACTGCAAGTCAGATCTATGTAGTGAGACCCTGTACTAAATACATTAAAAAAAAAAAAAAAAAGAA